GTGTGTATGCATGTGTGCTGCTATTGCTCTACACTTGCACCCAGATAAATTCCAAACCCAGCAATACCTTCTTATGGTTATTATCTTATATAACTTTATGTCTTTTAAAGAAACTGAGCTAGGACGTATCTATAGCATTTGTTATGTTAATATTACCTTCTTATTTCTGGGTTTTCTTCATTTCTTCCTGTGGATTTTAGCTACCATTTGAAGTCATTTCCTTCATACAATACAGCTTTGCTCCCACCCATCTCTGTGGTTTTATTTGCAAAAATATTAGATTTCTGTATGTTATATTTCCAAAAATACAAGTTGTGTGTATGTTCCATACAATTGTTTTTTTAAACCAGTTAAGAGGAGAAAGAAGTAATATGCATTTTGTTAAATTATATACTTGTCTTTACCAGTGCTCTTTGTTTTTTCATGTGAGTTGGAATTATTGCCAGGAGTCACCAGTTTTTAGCCTGAAGTATTTCTAGAAGGGGAGTATCTATTAGCAATGAATCCGCCTCAGTTTTTGTTTATTTTGCTTTTGAATATCTTTGCCTTTATTTTGTTTTCAAATTTTGAATGTCTTTGTTTTGCCTTTGTTTTGTTTCTGTTTTTGAACTTTTTTTTTTTTTTTTTGAGACATAGTGCAGTGGCATCGTCATGCATAGCTCACTGCAACTTCAAACTCCTGAGCTTGAACTATCCTCCTGCCTGAGCTGCCTGAATAGCTGGAACTACAGGCATGTGCCACCACACCTGGCTGATTTTTCTATTTTTTTGTAGAGATGGGGTCCTTGTCTTTCTCTGGCTAGTCTCGAATTCCTGTCCTCAATCAATGTTCCCACTTTGGCTTCCCAAAGTGCTAGGATTACACTTGTGAGCCACCATGCCTGCTGTTTTTGAACATTTTCACTAGCATGTGTCTTGGTGTGGCTCTCTGCACTTACACTTGGAGTTTTTTGAGCTGCTTTGATGTCTAGATTGTTTTCCATCAGTTTTGGTAAGCTTTCAGCCATTATTTCTCTGAATATTTTTCTACTCCTCTCTGTCCCTACCTCCCTCCCTCCCTCCTTCCCTCTCCCCTCCCCCCTTTCCCTTTGGTACTCACATTATATTATACCTATACGGTTGTCCTTGTTGGTGTCCCATGTTTATGAGGCCCTGTTTATTTTTCTTCTTTTTTCCTTTCTATTTTTTGGATTGAATAATTTCTATTGATCTATCTTCAAGTTTACTTTTTATTTTTTTGCCAGTTCAAGTACACTGTTGAGCCCTTCTGCTGAATTTATTTGTTACTATACTTTTTAACTACAGAATTCTTTTTTTTTAAATAATATCTCTCTCTATAGTGATATTCCCTATTTGATGAGATATCATCATCATACTTTACTACTTTAAGTATGGGTTCTTTTGTCCTTTGAAGATATTTAAAATGGTTATTCTGAAGTCTTTGTTTATTAAGTCCAGCATCTATTCCCCCTCGCAGGTGGTTTCTGTTGTCTGAAAAGAAACACTTTTGTTCCTTTGCGTGTGATAATTTGTTAAAAACTGGATATTTAATGTAATATAGTGTAACAACTCTAAATACCGGTCCCCACTCCCTTGGGTATGTTGCTGCTTTTTTTTTTTTTTTTTTTTTAAAAAGTCTGCTTGAACTATTTTAATGAAGTCTGTTCTCCCTATAATGAGAAGCTGCTGATGTTGCTCCGCAGAGCCCTGGGCCTGAGCACTGTCATCTTTAGCAGGGTTCTTTTTGACTGTCCCCTGGATCTCTCTGTTAACCTATCTGCCTCTGCTAGTATTGTATCCAGCTGTTAGGATCCATTCAGTGCCAAGTGATTGGCATGTTTTCTCTACAACTGTTTTCAACAGTACCCTGGAGGCTAACTTGCTCCACAGTCTGATCCAATTAAATCTCGCCTCCTTTACAAGGGTAGTTTTTGAGGTTTGTTCTGACTCCAGAAGGACGCTTCTTAATTCTTTGTCTGATTTTCTCTGGTAAACTCTGATGGTAGACTTGAGGTTTAGCTTGTATCTCTGATGAAGCTACAAGCCTTCTCTAAATTGTTCCACTGTATTTGAGGGTGCCCTTAGCCTTGAACTTCTCTACAGTTTGAAATAAAGTCAGTTCCTTTAGGGAGATATTTGGAGCGGGTGTTGGGACTGTGGCATGCTTCTCTTTGAGTGAGAAGCTCCTTGCTTTAGGAGCAGGGTTGGGTGCAGGCAGCACTCTCATTTTTCTGCTTACCTCTCACAACATGGAATCTCCACCCTATGAAAGAGCTGGGGTGAAAGCGTTTGGGGTCTAAGTATTCTCAGTGTGCCATGCCTGAAATAGAGCTTTCCTTCTATGAATGGCAATGGGTGAGAAAGAAGGGAGCCTCAGATCTCTCAGATGCACTCATCTCAAATTTATCCCCTTCATTATGTAACTGGGGTGGGGATAAATCTTGGGGGGAGATAAGAAAAGTGGGTGGCTTGCTCCTCCCGGGAAGATACAGCTTTAGATTGGGAGATTTTTTCTAGAGTGGAGGTTCTGTCATGCTGAGCTGAGAGGGAGGGGTGTTTGTTGTGGCTCAAATGCCACATATTCTTACTATTCTTACTGAGTTTTAGCAGATCTTCTTGAGTAATTGTGAAGTCATTTTCTGTGTGCTTTAGGACAATTTCCAAAGTCTTTGAATGTTTTTTTTAAAAATAACTTTTACCAGTTAGGCTTCACTGGGGTTTGTGGAACTCCTCATGCTGCCATTCCAGAAGTGGAACTCCAGCTGTGAATATTCTTGTTTGTGTCTCCTATTGACATGAGTAAAAGTTTCTTTAGGTTAGAAGTACTGGGTTACAGGGCATGGAATGGAAATCAGTTTGGCACAGTCATGTAAAGTTGAACAAAATAGCTGTACCAAATTACTGCCAGCAATATGTTAGAGTTTTTGTTGATGTACAACTCTCTAACACTTTATACTGTCATTGGATTTCTTAATTTTTGCCTGTCTAGGTAGATATAAAGTGATATCTCACTGTGGGGTTTCATTTTTTAAATTTTTATTAATTTTAAAGTCTTTTTGCTAATTTTTAAACTTTTTTTTTCCTTGTTTTGGGGATAGAGTCTTGCTCTGTCCCCTTGGTTGGAGTGCAGTGGCTTCATCATAGCACAGTGCAACCTCAAACTCCTGGGCTCAAGCGATCCTCCTGCCTCAGCCTCCCAAGTAGCTTGGACTACAGGTGTGTACCATCACACCTGGCTAATTTTTCTAGTTTTAGTGGAGACAGGTTCTTGCTTTTGCTCAGGCCGGTCTTGAACTGCTGAGCTCAAGTGATCCTCCCGCCTTGTCCTCCCAGAGTGCTGGGATTATAGGCATGAGCCACGTCACCCGGCCTCACTGTGATTTTAATTTACCCCCTGTCATTGGCATCTGTGTTTCTTTTTTGCATTTTGGATAACTGTCCTTTGAATATATGTGAACTAAAATTTTCTCTTATTTTGTGGCTTGTCCTATACCTGATGGTGTCTTTTGCTATACAAAAGTTCTTGCTTCTCCAGAAGAATGGGCACAGTGGGGAAAAAAAGTTCTTGCTTTTAATGTAGTTGAATTTATCAAACTTATCTTAAGAAATCCTTCCCTATTCCAAGGTCAGAAAGATAATTTTCTATGTTGTCTGAGATTTTAAGATTTTTTACTTTTTACATTTGTATCTTTAATACACCTAGGTTTTTGTGAATGTTTGTGAAATTGGCATCTGGAATGTCAACCTAAGAAGAAGAGTCTGAGGCAGACTTTTTTTTTTTTTTTTTTTTTGAGACGGAGTCTCACTCTGTTGCCCTGGGTAGAGTGAGTGCCATGGCGTCAGCCTAGCTCACAGCAACCTCAAACTCCTGGGCTCAAGTGATCCTCCTGCCTCAGCCTCCCGAGTAGCTGGGACTACAGGCATGCGCCACCATGCCCGGCTAATTTTTTCTATATATTTTTAGTTGTCCAATTAATTTCTTTCTAATTTTAGTAGAGGCGGCATCTTGCTCTTGCTCAGGCTGGTTTCGAACTCCTGAGCTCAAACAATCCACCCGCCTCGGCCTCCCAGAGAGGTAGGATTACAGGCGTGAGCCACCGCGCCGGGCCCTGAGGCAGACTTTTTTAATATAAAGAGTTTATTTGGGTCAAGTTGAGGACAGCTGACTGGACATACTTCCAAGTTGCCTTGAGGAGTGCTCTGTTTGGCTTTTATTACAAGCAGGTTTTTAAAGGCACAAAAGGGGACGTGGAGTGAGCTCGTAAAAAGTTGTTTGTCGGGAATGCTCGTTGATTTACAGAAATATCATTCTTTAGTGATTGGTTATACATTGAGCTCTATGGTGTGGTTTAGGGTGTCCAATGTGTGGCATTGTTAGGATGATTTATAGCTACTTGTGGCAATAGCATGCATTTTGAAGAGATGATTACATAGCTAGTGGTGGTCATGGGGAGTAGGACATGATAATTACTCTCATTTTAATGCCTCTCTGACCCTGATAATTTAAAAGGGCATGAATTTCTCAGGAATTATTTGTACATTTTTTTCTTTCTCAAATTTCATCTTTTCCACATAGATGGTTAATTGACACAGCCCTATTTATTGAATAGTCTCCTTCATAAATCTGCAGCACCTTTTAGGAAAATTTGATATGACATAGCCACGTGAGTCTATTACATTGGTCAGCTTGTGTATTCTTGTTACCACACCATCTTAATTATTATAGCTTTATAAATAGTTTTGATGTCATGAAGGAGAAGTATTTTGCATCCTTCAGGAGTATCTCACCATATGCTTAGATTTTTAATATTTTGAATAGCTTTGAGTCAAAACTTTTTCCATCTTACATATAATAATTAGCAGACATGAAATTCAGTATGTACTAATCACTTATTCAGAGCATTTAAGAGTGTTGGAAGAAATGGGAGAAGAAAATATGTAATGATTATGCTTTATTAGTTCAGAGGTCACAGTGTTTTTTTTTTCTCTTTTAACTATAGGAACAGTTTTGATCAAAAGTAATAGTGGTCAGTTGATGCTGGTATCTCCTCAGCAAGCCACAACAAGAGCTGAGACCACAAGTAACATAACTTCAAGGCCAGCAGTACCAACGAATACAAGTAGCATAACTTCAAGGCCAGCAGTACCAATGAATACTCAAACGCTCAAAATCTGTACTGTGCCGGTAGTATACCTTAAAGCTTTTTTCATCTTCTTGTTTCCCAGCCTATTATCTTCACGTAAATGTGCATGTGTTTAC